CCCTGGCCGTCTGCCTCTGTCTCCGCACACTGCAGCCTGTGCAGTGCGGAGCACGTGGACCCCTGCCCGTCTGCCTCTGTCTCTGCACACTGCAGCCTGTGCAGTGCTGAGCACATGCCAAGCACTCAAGTCTGTTGAACACCTAGATGCTCTGAGAAATTATGAGTTTTACTTTCTGTATCCCCTTTCATTTGAAATGCCAGGAAAACTTCCTTCAATGCAGAAAATACCAGTCAGCATTATTGAGAGTGCTCGCAATCCACTAAGACTCACTTGCTCTCGAATCATATTTTTGTAGTGAGTCACTATACTGTCATGCTGTTCTAAAGTCTTCTTCACCTCTTCTTCTTTCTGATCTTCTTCGCTGGACTTATAAATGGCCTTAGTTATAACACCTGTAAAACAAAGTTTAAAATTTGTTTTAAGTATTTTAAATACTGTCTTATTTAACACTCAACACATATAATGTAACTCCACAACAGATCAGAAATAATCTTTCTAATCTCATTGAAAGCTGAATGTCCTTCAATGGGCTACAGGTCAAGAGCGAGGAAAAACATCTTCTTTTAGGCTTATCATATAATCTGCATATATCTAGGACATAAATGCAAAATATAATCATAGTTACTTCTTAATATTGAAATAAACCTTCTTGTCTTACCTTCAAGTTCTTTTACCAGCTTTGTAAACTCATGATCAAATATCATGTATTCTGGACTGGGAAAGTTTGGCTGGGGTTTCTGAGACGCTCTGGAATATAACTCATGTTTGCTAATAAATCCTAGTTTCTCTATGAAATTCTCTTTGCCAATCCTCTTCTCTATTAGTTGTTTTAGTTTCTCTCTATAAGAGATAAGCATATTGAAATGCTTTAAAAACAGACAATCATAACAAAAATCATAAAAGCTTGGTCTACATCATACTTTGGCAGAAAAAAATGTGCTGAGGGCATTAGAGAGTCATCTTCCCCTTACTTACTTCATGCAGCTCTCAAGTGAGTTATCATTGAAGTAAATTGAAATGCCCAACAAAAGGGCACATAGGCCTTGGACCAACTGCTCTTCCTCTCCGAGATTTTCTGCAATCTGTCCTGTAAGCTGCAATCTTTGTTAAGGAAGCTAAGGATTCATAATACCTAGAATACTACATTTTGTAATTTGTTATATATTTCATGTAAGCGCTCCTATAAGAAATACCATATATATTCCAAGCCAGAACGTAACAAAACAACGATACACACAGACATACATGGACATACATACACAGCTTCAGCAAACATCACCACAACCTCAACAGTTTAAAAAGTTGCAACATAGATAAAATGGTGGAGAATTCAAATGTTTGGGTATAGAACTATTTCCACTTAAGAAAAAATTAAAAATATAAATACTTACATGTATGTTTCTAAGACACAAAGGATACAAATGGAACATTGGCTGAATTGTGAAGAAAGTGCGTCACTGCAATGGGACAGCTGCTCAGCCAGGTACAAAGCAACATTAATAATCCAACTCTTGTTTGTATTTTGCTTCCCTGTAATAGACAAGTTGGCAGAAATCTCTTTCCATTCATTTTCTTTTTTTCAGACTTAAAGTTGCCCTAAGATCCCATCCTCTTTGTATAAAAAGAATTTTAACATCTTACAAAAATGAGTGCCAGAAATCTAGATTTAGAAAATTAAACAAGAGGATCCATTCTTGAGTGCACCACAGGCTGCATGTCTCACAATGATCACAGTGTGGAAATCAGAGTGATTCATCTTCATAAGCATATACTAGGAGCATTTAAAGCACTGTTAGTATAAAAACATGGTCTGTGAATGAAAAAATTTATGTGAGGTTTAAAAAAAAATTTATCAACCATAAGACACTTTACAGTAAATTTGCCAGGCAAATTTATAATATTTCAATCAATACTTTCAAAACAAGTTCCTGCTTTGAGGACAAAGTCTGCCTCCTTCAAAAAAATCACGAAAAATACAAAGAAATAATCTCCTGAGTCACTCAGTCAAATTCCATGAGAGAATACATGTTCTAACAAGAAGGTCAAGCACGCAGCACACTCAGTGACAACAAGCCACCCAGTGGGAAATCACACACAGAGTCAAGGGGAAAAGACGAGAACCCGCCAAGTGCCCCAGCCTTCCTGCACTGCCGCCTGGTCCAGCAAGAAAACCAGCACGTCCAGCAAGACCAGCTCCCTACATTTTAAAACAACACATTTACATCTCCTGTGTAGATCATCTCTCAGTCTGTAAGACTGACACTGCCCATATTTATATTACCATAACCTACATTTTTTTCTTAAAGAAAAACAAAATTTGTTGAAAAAAAATAATGAAGATCAGTAGAGTCATGCATCACTTTGGGGCAAATTTTATGAAATATCTCAAATATATTTATTCAAAGATCTAGACAAGGAATGGATTTAAAGTAATCATCACTGTTTTGAAAAATTCTACCACCTAGACTGGTCTAATTTCACAAACCTTGACTTCAATATCTTGGCCTTTTTATAATATATTTTCAGGTATATTTAATATTGAATTAAATTTAAACTGGATTTCTTCAAAGGATTTGCCAAGTGAGCATTAATGACTTTAGTTTTACATGGTGTCTGTGTTGTTTTTACTTTTTCCTTGTGTCTATGTCATTACTGTGCCCACAGTATAACTTCATGTTACCTATACAAATGCACAAGTTAAAAATACAGTTACTCTCAATTGACTATGTACCACACAGAACTTACAACTACTCAAGATACAAGTGCATGTTTTATCTGTGGGCTATCTATATGAAATTCACTATTGCTCAGACCACTGGTTCTCAACCTTCCTAATGCCACAGCCCTTTAATAACAGTTTCTGAGGGTTGCGACCCACAGGTTGAGAACCGCTGGCTTAGACTAACCATTTGCAGGTACCAAATATACCTACAGTGCTCATATAAAAGCATCCTATCAAATCACCACTGATGCTTGAGTAAACAGCAACAGACACAGATTTAAATCTGAATCTTCTAGAAGTATGCCCTTTGGGGTCTAACTGTGAAGGACACAGGAGCAAAGTTGAATATAGCCAGTGAGAAAACAGAGTGGAGCGATTCATTTATATAGCAACAAAAAAGATAAAGTACTCAGGAACAATCCCAATCAAAATGGCATGAAATTAGAACAAGGAAAATTTTAAAACATTCCTAAAGAGCACAAAATAGAAACCAAAGTAAAGACACTGTGTTCCTAGACAGGAAGACCTGACGTCATGAAGGTGTTGACTCCAAGTTAATTCATAACACCAATGCGATCCAAATAAAAATATTAAAAGGTTTCTTTTCTTCTAGAACTTAATCTGATTCTCAAAACATTATTATAAAAAGCTGAGAATAACTGGGAATACTGTGAAAAAAACGAAAAATAGTCATGGGGGATCATGAACAGGTAGGAATCAAGGGATAGAACAGAAGGTCCAGAAATGGACCTATATACTAATGAGAATTTAGTATATGAAAAAAAGGTAGCATATAACCATCAGTGGGCTACAGATGGACTTAAAATATGATGAGGGGTGGCACCGTGGCTCAAAGGAGTAGGGCGCCAGCCTCATATGCCGGAGGAGGCAGGTTCAAACCCAGCCCCGGCCAAAAAAACCCCAAAAAACTGCAAAAAAAGTGATGGGACAACTAGATAGCTGTCTAAAAAAGATCAGTGGATCTATACCTTATACAGCTCATTAAAGGAAAATGGAACACAGTTAAATGCACAAAAAGAAACCAGAAAGTATAAGATGAAAATATGAGTCAATTTCTTAAAATCTTTAAGTGGGACACCATTTCTAAATATGATTTACAATACAGAAGCCATAAAAGAAAAGTCTAAGAAGCAAAACAAAACACAACACCAAGGTCAAAGGAGAAATGACACACCCTTTTAAATTAACATTTACATTTATATACTTTCTCAAACATAAAAAATTCTGATGTTTAAGGTGATAAAGATATGGGAGAGTCATTAACATGTTAGATCATGCTCATACACAAAGTTATAATTCCTAACAGACTTCAGTCGTTACCACATACACTGTTCAACTGAAATACATGCCTGAGCAAACACACGAATCAAACCAAACCAAGCACAAATAGCACTCTTCCACTCACATCAAAAACTAATCCTCATATAGGACTAGAGTTATGTGGGTATATACAGGTAGTTGTAGCATATGAATTATATCTAGAATAATACATAATATTTAAAAATCTTTAAAATTACAAAATTATACTTGCTATTGTACATTAAAAATAGTCTAACTAATATAAAAGTCATCATAGTCTTTCATATACTGATGAAATAGAGACAAAAATTCTTTTTTTTTTTTTTTTTTGAGAGCTTCATTATGTTGCCCTCAGTATAGTGCCGTGGCGTCACAGCTCACAGTAACCTCAAACTCTTAGGCTGAAGGGATTCTCTTGCCTCAGCCTCCCAAGTAGCTGGGACTATAGGCAGCTGCCACAACATCTAGCTATTTTTTGGTTGTTGTTGTCATTGTTGTTTAGCAGGCCCAGGCTGGGTTCAAACCTGCCAGCCTTGGTGGGCCGGGTTCAAACCTGCCAGTCCTGGTGTGTGTGGCCAGCGCCCTAACCACTGAGCATACGGACGCCGAGCCTAAAGACAAAAATTCTTAACCTTAAATTTTAATTCCCGTAATATGGTTTAAGGAGAAAGAGAGAAACAAGGCTCGGGGAGGGGAGGAGAGACAAAAAACCAAAACCAAGGAATTCCGGAAAGTGCAAGCATCCCCAGAGAGAGCACAAAGTATAGCCTCAGATTCTCAGTCCCGCAGTTCCTAGTAACACCACGGTATCCCAGGGAGAAGAACTAGAGAGCCAATTATGATAGAGATCAATTTGCTGACATGTAGTGTGAGTAGAATGTAACTTCAAACAAGCTGTTAAACAAAACCATCAGCAAAACCCAAGACAGAGAAAAAGCCTTCGTGTAAGAGGAAAATGCCTAAGCTAAATTGATACATACCCGTCTGTCGATCTTATCACCCTGCAAATTATACATTAAAAATTATTCATAAACATTACTACTTTAGAAAAATCTAAATTCAGAAAAATCTCTCAATATTTTTTCATAGTCCCTCTATAAACACAATAATTTGAGACAGTCTAGTTCTAATTGCCTATTATGTAAAATTAACAGACATGGGGATAAAGAATTTTATAGTACCATAATTATTAATACTTAAAAGTAAAGAAGATGCCATCTCTGTTAGCATTTCTCACTATGCATTCATTGTGATGTTACAGAAAAATATGTGGTGATGCTGGTCAAACAGCTGGTTTGGCTTCTTAAAAAGCTAAGCTACTTTCTTTTTTTCTTTTTTT